ATCTTACAAGCACACACTCACCCTTATGATGGATACTCCGGTGGTGCCAGTTCCTGAGCTGGGCTCTGAACAGAAGGCTGGAGCTTGAAGTACTCCCACCATTGCCTAGATAACAGCTCACCATAACCTGAGAGTTTGGTTTTTTTTTAAATCATTTTATTGGGGGCTCATGCAAGTCTTGTCACAGAGAGTTTGATTGTTACACACTGATCACACAAATAAAAGGGAGTACAGCTGATATCACATTGTCTAAAATTGCGCTCTGTTTCTTTGTTTGGACCCGTTTGTCCACATGTAACACACAAGGTTACGTGTGATCCCCTTAGGCGTGAACCAACAGTCAAACAGGAACCAACCGTGGGAAAGCGGGGAAGAAATGAACAAGTGATAAAGCATGAACTCTCCACAGTACAAATGGGGCGGTGCCTGGAAAGTCCCAAGAATTCCCACCAACACTTACAATGTTAGGGCGAGATGGGCTCAGCAGGTGAGAGGGCAGACCCCAAGGATCCAGGAGCCTGCGCATCTGAGCCCTCAACAGAGATTCCTGGAGCCTGTGTGCTGAGCGGGAGGAAGAGGGGGAGGGAAGGGGTGCACGCACCAGCATAGAGATGGGGGGCAGGGATGAGGCAGGGTGAAGGCCTGGAGGGGAGCAAAGAGTAGACAGCATGCTTAGTGAATAGCCCACACCCCCAATGTGTGTTTTTTTAATTGGGTTAATGGTAATTTCTTCCGACAACTATGGGAGATGATGGGAAGGGTGGTATAAACTAGTAACAGCTGCTGAGCTGTCGAGGAGAAGCCCTGGTGGCGTAGTGGGTTACACCAGCAGTTCAAAACCACCAGCTGTTTCGAGGGAGAAAGATGAGGCTTTCTACTCCCGTAAACAGTTATGGTCTTGGAAACCCACAGAGGCAGTTCTAACCTGTCCTCCAGGGCCATCTATGAGATGGGGTTGGCTTGATGGCAGTGAGTTTGGTCTTTGGTTGGGTGCTTTTGGGAAGCGTTGGACTGCTATCTGTAAGACCAGTGATCCAAACCCACCAGACACTCCTCTGGAGAAAGAGGAGACTGCCTGTTCCTGCAAAGATTTTGAGCCTGGGAAACTCGATAATAGTTAATTCGGCAAGTCAGGATTGACAATATGGCAGTGGGTTTGGTTTTATAACTAAAAGGTTATAGGGTCAAATCCACCAAGAGACTCACTGGAACAAAGCCCTGGTGATCTCCTTCCCCATAAGCAGCCACTTGAAGTCTATCTAGAGAACAATTCTACCCAGACACCCTTGGGGTCACTATGCGTCAGCGTGGACTGGATGAAGGCCAGGGTGCCTGGGTGGCTTGAACACCGGAGCAGGCTCTGTAAGGGTCTTGGGAACCAGGACAGCCTGGGACTGCCCACAGTTCTGGCTGGCAGGCTCCTTTGGCCCTCTGTGCAGTGGGGTGGATGGCAGGCAGGTTCCAGACCAGGTGGGAAGGAGTCAGGGATTTTTTCTGCAGTACACTCTAGGGAAAATGAAGAGTTAGCCTAGAGCTGCCCGATTTAAGTAGGAAGCAACATAGCACTTATTCAAATGTACTAGTGAGTGAAAGGAAGACAGGGTCTCTCGGGCGACAATGTGAAGGAAAATCCATGTTGGAAGAATTAAAACAAAGGGATTGAAGCAAACAGCACGAGTGCACTGTGCTGTGGATGGACTTCACCCGATGGTAAAGTCAACACAGTGCACCTCTAGAGTGAGGCGAAAGGGATGAAAAGGAACATTGTAGGAGACGCAGGATGAAGAGCAAAAAAGTTATTCATTCTTATAGAATAACTGAGTTAGAAACAGGAAGGAACCAAAGCGGCACGTAAGATAATACAAAACAAAAGTACTCTTCTCAAGGGGAGGCTCAGAGTAAATTCAATGAGTACTGAGGAAAATCCTGAAGAAATTCAAATGGCAGTGTGTTAGGCAGGGTTCTCTAGAGAAATAAGACCAAGACGTTTGTGATTACATATATGTAAAAGGATAAGTCCGTATTGTGAGAAGGAATATAACAGCAAATTACTCCACACAGCAGTACAGAGGGCTCAGTCCAACTCGCTCTCGCAGGACAGGTACTCTGATGAAGGTCCTCCTAGCTCACCTAGTCACTAGCCCAAGGCCAAGGGAGCAGACAGTAGGAAGATGAAGTGGTGAAGTGTAGCAGAGCGCAGCCTACTGAAGCAGGTCTCGGTGGAGCCTGGCCGTGGAGCCTTGCAAAGTGGCTGGTGGGAAGTGCGGTGTCTGGAGTGGTGGCAAGATGAACAGAGTCATCCTGCAGGCAGCAGACACAGCAAGGTGGGGCGGCACTGCGACACAGAACAGCACGGCACAGGGATGTGGTCCACCGCGGTCCAGGGGTTGCCTTGGGCCACAGGTAGCACAGCACGTGTTGCGGCAAGGCAACTCAATCAGACAGTGCACTGCTCTGATCACTAGGGAGAGAGAGAGAAGGGTAGGGGTGGGGGGTCGGGGTCGGGGGGCTGGCCTTCAGTCATTTATCTTGGTCACACCTCCAAGGGAGTTCATCAAGCTGCAACCTGATTAACAGGCGAAACTCCACCATATCTTCTCATGGGTGCCATGTGGGCTCAAAAAACCTTACTATCACAGGCAGTATTAAAGTAAAGCCTGAAAAACCAGAACCTGTGTAAGGTAGAAAGCTGTCAGAGAAGGGAAACTCAACTCTTCTCTAGTCAAGTGAGCAGCAAATCACCTTGAGCACTGAGGCCCACCTGACCCACACCAGGATCTTTCAGCCATTCCTTACGGATACCAAAGATGGCTAGCGAATCAGGAAGAATTGAGGCCCGGTGGGGAAGATAACTGGAGGAACTGTGCCTGCCAGAAGAACAGCTGTCTCAGAGGATGTACAGCCAGGAGGATCTTCAGCTGCAAGGATTGTGAGACTTCGTGTTCCCTTCTTTGGACACACGAGCAAGATAGTCCAGTTCCTGGGAAAAGACATCGTCCTTGGTAAATAATTCACGAAGGCCTGTGACCAGGAGCAAGGCTCCCAAGGAGGTGGATTGGCTCAGTGGCTGCAACTGTGGGCTCAAACATAAGAACAATTGTGAGGGTGACACAGGAGCAGGCAGTGTTTCAGAGCCGCCTGAATGGCATCCAGAGTGAGCAAAAGACAAACGGCAAGACAGAAAACGTGGAATGCCGGCTACTGCCAGTTTCACGGTACTAGGTATGGAAGACCAGGTGACAGTGGAAGAACTATAGAAAGAACTTGACAAATGAAACAGGGCAAACGTGTCCAGAGATAAAGTACTTGAAAATTTGCATGAGAATTTTTTTTTAAAGCACAAGAAAAAAAATCACATCTGTAGATGGAAATGTCAACCCCATTTTCTAGGAAAATTTAATCAGCTAAACCAAGAGTCATAAGAGGAAATGTCAAAAAGTTCCAGGAAGCATGGAGCTAAAGCTGAGCTAAGCATGCCGACCGTTTGAAGTCCCTCTCCTGTGTATGTTAACCGGGTACAGTGTGACGGAAGCATAGAACGTTGTCTTCCTCAGAACCCGAGCGGGAAGAGAAACCCACTGTCAGATGGAGATGGAGGCAAGTCTGGCTTTTCTCTCCGACATGCCGTGCCAGAAGGCATAGAAGAAATCTCTATAAGGTCGTAGGGGAAAAAGAAATAACCCAAATACTTTATGCGCCGGCAAATGGCATTGCCATGTCAAGGGCGCGAGACGCGTCATTCTAAAAGATGCAAGCACTGGGACGATGGCACCTGTACTGGGTGGAGGACCAAGCAATGCCGGGCCCTCTTTGGACCCACTGAAGACACTCTGGGCCGAAGGACTGGTGAGAGGTGGCGAGGGACTTCCTTATAGATCATGACTGAACAGCTGTGAGGATTAGCCTAAATCTCAAGGGCAGAAAAACAATAATGTCACGTCTTGGAAGATTGGGTAAGACAGAGAGTCTCATCTGCCTCACGAACCTTAATGTAAGGATGATACGCCAGATGTGAAATTACCGGTACAAAGAAAGGGCAGGGGTAGTTGAGTGGTAGAATTCGTGCTTTTCGGGCAGGAGACCTGGACTGGAGGCTCAGGTTTGGATCCAAGTCACGGCATCTCATGCCCAGCCAGTAGCTGTCTGGCCGTGGAGGCTTGGGAGCGGCGGTGGTGTGAGCAGGCTTCTGCGAAGCCTCCAGCCGGACACAGTAGGCTTCTGAGTTTTCACCGCCGATGAACACCCTGGGGCCACAATGCTCCAATCCACAGCTGATCCCGATGGGGACAGATTCGTTCTCCGGTGGGTGGGGCGGGAGGGGGTTGCCGTGAGTTCTGCATCGATAAGATGGCAGCTAACAACAGACACAAAGGCGGGGTTTAAATTACCAGGGCAAAAGCCCAGCCTTAAAAAAGAGCATTTTAGCAGGTATCCAAAACCCAAACCCAACCCACTGCCAGCCAGTCAGTTTCTAGTCGTAGGGCCCCTGCAGGGCAGAGTAGGACCACCTCCCCACCCCCCACCCCACCCCCCGTAGGGTTCCAAGCCTGTCCATCTTTGCGGGAGGCCGACAGACTCCTCTGTCTTTCTCGGAGCACCTGGTGGGGGTGAAGTGTCAACCTTGAGCTTAGCCGCCAGGTGCTTCACCGTTGCACCTCCAGGGCTCCTCGGGCTTAAAGCAAAATGACTCTTAAGTGGGTAACGGAGTTTAGTTTCTTTCAAAGCTCTTCGTTGGGCACTGATCGCAGCTCCTTGTGCACCTGAAGCAACAACCCCCCCACCCCCACCCACCCCATGCAATCGTCTTAGGAATGCGCTACTGTTTCGATGTCAGGTCTCTTACTGCTGCTTACCCGCTCTCCCCCCATCAGTGTAAGTTTTTTCCCAACTGGTAAACTGTTCTTGGTGCTTACCCTTTAAAACTGTATCCACGAGCTTCACCTTGTTCAGATAACCTAACGGTGTCCTTCTCTCTCTTTAAATCCTTCCGACACGAAAAGCTACAGATCCTCGTGGACACCGGGAGCAGTAACTTCGCGGTGGCGGGGGCGCCGCATTCCTACATCGACTCGTACTTCGACTCCCAGAGGTCAGTGATGGGCGGGTGTGGGTGCCCCGAGAATTGGCCTCCTGCAATACCGCCCTATGGCCGCTTTGTTTGAAGGCTGGGAGTTTATATGGACGGGGGAGTGAGGGTGAGGGGGTGAGGCGGGTAGTAGCATGTCTCTGAGTGTATATGAGATGTAAGTGTGTGATGTGTGTAGGTATGCAATGTGTGTGGTGTGTGAGATGTGGTGTCAGTGTGTAGTAGTATAGGTGTGTCGTGTGAATGTCAGTGTGTGTGCATATGGGTGGTGTGTACATATATGTTGTTGTTGACGATATGTGGTGTGTGTGAGTGTGTATAGTGTGTAAGGTGTAGTGGGAGTTTGTATATTTGTCATATGTGTGTGTGTGTATGTGTGCTGTGTGTGATGTAGTGTGAGTTTGTATACGTATGTGGTGCGGGTGTGTGTGTCTGTGTAATGTGGTATCTATGTGGGATATGTAAGATGTGCGTTTGAGATGTGTGTATCTGTGATATGTATGTGAATTTTTGTTCCTTGTATATGATATGGTGTATAGAACTGTGAGTGTAGCATGTGTTATGATATGTGTATAGATGTCTATGTTTATATTCACCCCAAGGTAATTCAAAGCAGAACATTCTTAATAGCCTTGAGGAATGTACAGGAGAGTCACTGTACAATCTTCAAGTCACATACAGCTCACAGTGATAGAAGAGCTTCAAGGAGCAAGTGACCGTGTGACACTTGCCACAGCCCACGAGTCCCCTGTCCCTGCAAAGTGCACCTGTTGCTGCACAAAACTGCTCACCCCGCAGGTTGGCCATTCCAGCCCACCCTGGGGCTCCTCAGAAGGCAGCCTGGCTGGCCGAATGCAGCAAGGAGCAGCTGTTGAAAATCCCATGGGCATGGAAAGGCGTGCCCGAGTTAAAGGCAATAGAGGCTTACAGAGGACAAACAAAAGCCTGCAGAAACGATTCTCCTCTCACCTGCGTCAGAATCCACTGGGAGGCAGCTGGTGACTGGGGGCCAGTCCTGGTCTGGATGGGGATCAAGCAGAGGGAAGGGAGAAAGGATGGAATGAGCGTGTGAGAGTGAGACTGTGGTAGGCAGGCCACGGGCCAGTCCTCCAGCTGGAGCGGTGCTTGGGCAAACCCCTTTGCATTGCCCTCTGGAGTTCAGTGGGAAGGCCCCCGGTGCTGCAATGCTTAAGCACTTGGCTGTTAGCAGCCAGGCTGCCAGGTGGAGCCCACCCTCAGCCCTGCACGAGAAAAAACCAGACGATGTGGCCCAGTGAAGATGGCCGGCTGGGAAGCCATGGGGCAGTTCTACTCTGTCCTAGACGGTCACCATCAGTCAAAATCCTGTTCAGTAGCACTTCCATAGGAAGGTAAGGTGTGGTCCTTGGAAATTGTTTCTGTGCAGGGTGATGTTTCTGGTCGAGAGAAATCCATGGCTCAGGTGTAGAGGGGAATCCTTGTGGGCCCCAAAGCCACTTCCTTGTGGGCATCTGTAGCTGTTTTGTGGCTGCTTACACCCCACACATAGACTGTGATCCTGAAATTAACACTTGCAAGTCAACAAAAGAAGCCAACAGGCCAGGGTCCTAACCCCTTCAGAGTCAAAACGCACCATCTGCTCCCCCTGCTATGAACCCTTCCCCTGTCTTTCCTATCTCACTCTCCTCACTCGCATTCCTTAGTGCCAGGGAATAAACCGCAGCTGGCAGCAGCGGGGAAGTCCAGCAGCCAGGAGGGTGCTGGACATGCCGGGCTAGTCTGATAACCAGGTGGCCTGCTGCAGCAGCCAGCCCTCTACCTGCTGCGGAAGTCACAGCCATCCTTGGTGACACGCGCAGGGTGGCTAATGCTGTGTACACAGCAGCTTCTTGGTGAGTTGGGGCGGTGGCTACCGGGGCATCAAGGAGATAGGTCGGAACCTCCCCTGAAGGGTTCTCTAGCCCAGTTTACAACTGTGGGGTTAGGGAAGGTGCCATCACTGATTGATATTCCAGGACCAAACTCCTGACCTGTGATTGCTCTGTGGCCAGTGTGTCTATGACCACAGCTCTGCGTGTAACCACTTTGTCCCTTGGTACTTCAGGAGGAATCCCTAGAGGACACCAATGGTTTAAGTGTTTGACAACTACCTTGGAGATTGGTGGTTCAAACCCACCCAGGGTGCCTTGGAAGACAGTGAGAGGTGCTCTGTTTGGGGGCGTCACGGAGGAGAGAGGGGCGTGGTTTATGATGCTCTCACTGCCTTTTTGTGAGTTCCCATTCCGAATGGTGGCTCATCCCAATCCTCTGATCCCAAACCCTATTTCTCAACTGGGACTGGTACATCATGGGACAATGTGGAGTTGGCCCAAACTTCTTGTTGAGATCACAAGAGGCTGATGGTCTGGCCTGAGTACAAGCTTCTAAGGCAGCAGTTCTCCATCCTGCAGTGTGACTTCAGACCCCCATCTTCCAATGAGAAAGGAGTACTGTGTAATGAATGCCCTGAACTGAAATGTGAAGGTACTGTAAGTTAACCTACACATGTCATTCTAAAAGGCCCCCTTTGAGGAGCCTGGGCGGGGTAAGCAGTTGGTCATCAGTTGCTAACCCGCAGGTTGGCAGTTCGAACTCACTGAGAAGCTCCACAGAAGCGATGGCTTGGGGAACTGCTTCCGTAAAGATGGCAGCCAAGGAAACCCAAAGAAGCAGTTCTACTACAACATGGGGTTGTCAGGAGTCGCATGGGGCTGACTCAGTGACAGCTAACAGCAACACCCCTTTGCAAAGAAAGCTTGTCTAGTGCAGTCACCAGGAGACCTCCGGGTGCAGTAGTTACACACCGGGCTGCCAACCACAAGGTTTTCCGCTGGTCAGGTGGAGATGAGGCTGTGTGCTTCTGTAAAGAAGTACAGTCTCAGAAACTCTAGGGCCAACATGAACTTGAACCTACTCAATAGCAGTAGGGTTTGGGGGTGGGGGGGATGCAGTCCCGAGCATACAGTGAACCCTCGCCACTTCACGCTTCGACTTCCGCGGCTTCACTCTATCGCGGTTTTTGCGTAACA